CCGTTAACTTGAAGGTGAACTTTTTGTTACTTTCCGTTTCACTAATTATATTAAGGGGGGAATATTGTTCGCATTTCCGCCGCTTTGTGTTTTGTCGCTTTTATTCCTGCTAGGGAGTTTGCCGTAATTTTGTTCTAGTTTTCCCGAAGTAACCGCCACCATTTTGTGGAATCGTCCAATTACTGGAGCTACCGTTTCTCCAGTTTCCATTTTATGGTAGTTGGTTATGGTCGAGGTCGAGGTTATTGTATGGTTTTAAGGTTGTCCTTAATAATGAAAAAGTAAATGCACTCTTATCTGATAAATGTGGCAATAGTGGAAAGAGGTCATAGTTGCTGGTCATCAAGTTGACAATACATTGGGCTCTTGTTATGTAAAACCATTGTTTAATTTAAACAATGCTAAAATCCCTGAAAAGTATCCCGATATATTCCTAGACCCTAATGTCATGAAATAGGTCATGGTGTCGACCTAAGATCTAATTCGAGGGGTCTAATTAGTAATTTCCATCAGTGTTTTGCGTGCGAATTTTTTACGGCACAAACGAAGCACTAACCCATCCACCTAGACCTAGACTTTTCTACCAACAATATTCTGCTAACTTCACGGACCCGCTCCACTCCGTTATCACAAGTCTTGTTATCATTTACTTCGATAATTTGTAATTAATGTGAAAATTTTTGGAGTTTTACTAGGCTAAAACAAAAAAACTTAAGCCATTTGGGCTAATTAAGACCTATTAATATCACGTCAAACACTCTATCTCATATGAATCCAGATCACGTGTCTAAATTTATAAATCCTCAAGGAAGATAAATATAACGAACCATAAAACACGTCGTGGGTGTGTGCCCCAATGACATAAATTTTGATTATGTAAGGAGTTTTACTCCAAGCGAAATAGTTAAGGTAGATATTTAGTTTTCAAACAATTCGAGATCAAATAACTTAACCTTTTAATGGGGGCGATTTCGTTTAAAGGTTGACCTTGAACACGAGCATCGCGAAATTTAAATCGCGCTAACCGCTATTTTTTGCGGATCACTCTGTACACACACCCTTGAAATAATTATAAACAACGGTAATCTAAATTAGACAATCGACGAAATAAAAAAATAAGTATGCAGATTGCCATGAAATAATAAACCGATGTTTGATTGATTGAAATGTAAACTTCGACAATATGACTCATAGGTAAGTGTGTCAACAATAAATTTATAACAGTCCTCCTCTATCTACAAAAATACTTCCGGTATTTCTGATAACATCATTTTTCGAATAAACTGTCTTGTTTATTATAAATGAAAGTAACCTTTGTATTTATTTTTTTAAATGTAAACTCAAAATCGTGTGAGAAAATTCACTTTGCCACAAAACTTACCTTTTTCCCTTAATTCTTAAAACAGTTTTCGCACGCACATGATTTATATTCCCCTTAAAAGTTCCCCATAGGTATCCAACTTTAAAGGGACAGATTCACTTGAATAATAATGATGTTTCCCACTACACTCATTATTGACACTTCGGAAATTTGTGTTATAAATTAACTAAAATAGAAAATGATCGCAATGTCAAAGTCCTAGTAAAACACGTGTAAGGATAAAAACTGGGAATTTATTTAACGAAACTGCCATTGTACAGGCGAACCGATAACTGGAAAATTCATGTGGTTGAGCAGGCGATTCAACTTATAGTTTGCGCGAGTTGGCACCAGAGGCGCACGTGTACAAACAGCTGTTGTTTGTTTTGGGACTAACTTCATTTTTAATTATACGTCGCTCCTAAATTGATAAAGAATAAACGTTTTGGGTGTAATCAGCCTTGCGATAGAATTAGTCAGCGACCGATGCGACCTTTATACTCGTTAGCATTCCTCATGCCTCGTTAATATTCAAAATCGATCGATAAATTACCTAATTTTTCATTATTGCAAAATTTTAATTGTTATTGCTTTAAACTAGACGGATGTGGTAATTTGCACTACCCATAGGCTATCGAGAATAAATGCCAATAAAAATTGATTCGTTGAGAAATGAGACCTAATCTTAAAAGTGAAAGGAGTATATTATTATAAATTTATAATGAAAGTAGATATGATAATCCTAGCGATGGTACAGGGCCGGGCTAACGATTTTTGTTTAACAAAAATTCCAGAAATGTTCCAAATACAATGATCGTCATTGAAAAATTTCCATACATTTTGGTATTTCTTCCGAGAAATGTTTATCGTCCATGAACAAAATAATATTGCATAACGCATAAGGAAATGTTACAGAGCCGGCCTTACTAATTTTCCAGGTTTCCAGTCAAGAATAAATCGAAGAGGTAAATAAGTAGGTAGGTACCTAATATACGGACGCCTTTTCCACTTCATAGGACGAAATCTGCACTACCTCCAATTAATTTTAAGGAAAGTCTGTCAATATAATCTTTTGCATTTTTACACAAGCATCAATCTAAGAAGATAATCATTATTGATAGGTACACTAATTATAGAAAAAGTACCCTCATCTGCAGTGACAAATTATTGAGGGACTGAGGGTTATTGCAATCACCGAGTCCAGATCTGGCTTCGAAATTGCCTAGAGATGCCCCCCCCCCCACGAATTATTTCCTGAGATGCTGTTTTTGAACGTAAAACGTGCATAGCTTTTACATACGACAACCATTTGGTCTCAGATTTTGCATACGCATATGGGAGGTGCCAAGTTAAAATTTTGGTAATGGGGGGTGGGGGGGAGGGGTAAACACATATGTTCTACCCTTCATGGTATTCTAATGAAAGGTCTCATCGAAATAAATTGGTTTGTACAAACTATAACTTTCCCGTGCGACTCTTTTTCGAGATCAGTGAGCGACGGGGCCTGGGGGAGGGGGGGGAATGGAACTAGTTTTATCCTTCATGGTACTCTAATGAAAGGTCTCAACGGAAGGAATTAATTTCTACCAACCATACACCTCCTCCTCGACCTCTTATCGTGATAGGGTATATTCCCTTATACCTCAAGAACGGATTGTCGGAAGAAGGTACTCACAAAGGGCTATTGAGACGTCTGCAAGAAATATATCCGTTGGTGATGTCAAAACAAAAGCTATTTCAATTTTAAAAAAATGCGCTTTATCTGCACAAGAGTTGTGCACAATTTATACTTGTTTTAGATTAGGTACTTACAACTAAAATATTAACTTTGCATTACCATAGAGTAAATAATTTGCTCTATGGCATTTAAAAACTAATGAATGTATTCATCGAGAGATATAAAATGTCGTAGCTTTCTGTAAATAGGTTGCAATAAATTGTTATTGTTACACATAACATACAATGGCGATCATTTTCATTTAGGTAATTGCAAATAATATATTTTTTTGCTCCGGTAGCCTTCACGTGGTATAAAAAAATTCAGCAGTTGTAGCAAATCGGCTGCATGCCATTGGACGATGTTGGAGGGAGACAACGTCCATACTTGAGTAGAATTTGGTGGTCACAAGGATAAGATTCATACGTTTTAAGCACAAAAATTTTGCAAAACGTACGATGCCCACGTTCGTCAGTTTAACAACTTTAAGGCACTGGTGACAAGTTTATATGAACCTTGAATGATAGTTTAAAACCAAAATACACTCCAAGGTCTTTGAAAACTGGTAAACGGGATTATGCTTGATTTTGAACTGAATATTTGAACTCAATTGGATTTTTTCCTACACTAAGAAACAACGGTACATTTGGAAATATTCAGCGAAAACTGATTTTGTATACAAAACTTTTGAATACAATTAAGTTACGTTTATTATTGAGGTTATCACGTGATATACTTCAAGATCATCTGCCAACAGTAGCTTTGGACATGATAAGACTTTGGTTATATCATCGATAAATAGAAGGAATAGTAGAGGACCTAGGTTGGAATCTTGGGGGGCCCCCGAAGAAGCAATAAACATCTCGGATTTGAACTTAAGTCCTAAGCCATTAAACCGTCACGATACGCACACGAACACCAGTGACCTATAAACATTTTTAGCACATTTTTTAAGAATTAAAAAAATGTGCTATTGATTGCGGTTTGTCCGTCCGTCCGGACCCACTTCTACCGTTTTACCGTACTACTTCTAGGGGAATGGTCCTAGAGTCCTGGAATTTTTTGCAGTAGGTAGCCTATACATAAATGCGCTTTATCTGCACAAGAGTTGTGCACAATTTATTTATGTTTTTAATTCTTAAAAAATGCGCTAAAAAGTTATAAACGTTTATTTTTATCTCGAACTTTTATTTGTTACGGATCTGGAAGCTGTGCAGGTGGTACAATCATTACGTGTAATAATTATAAACTACTTGTTATTTAACGGCTCTTATGCAATGTTTATAGCGTAGGTATTTTTTATAACTAAAATGTGTAAAGTGTACGTAGGTATGTGGTCGCTGGTCGTCATGTAATGAATAAACGCCCGAAGGGGTACAAAACAGTAGATACAATAAACAAACGAGTAACGACTCAATGTTTTATTACCTAATGCGTTCTCTGTCATGCTCCACACAGAAAAGAAATTAAATTGGGGAAGGGATTCAATAATGTCTTTGAGATGCCTCCATTCTTCCTTCTTTGATTGTTCCACTTTCTATTTTGTTCACTTGATTTGTTTAGTTTATTGTTAGCGAATGACGAACGGTTTAATTAATAGCCAAAAATGATATTAACTGTTGTACAGTATACCGAGTAATAACCATAATTGTACAAGAAATAATAACCCTAGCAGTGAATGGCAAAAACGAACGTTTGCTATTCGTTTGGAGTAAATGTCCAAATTCAGGTTCAAATAAAAGAAAGAACACCTAACTTAATTAGGTATTCCAGAGAGACTCATTCCCATTCGTCAAATTACAATTTTTCTGGATGCATATTAAAATAGCAAAAACGCGTAGGTACACATCGCATAGCAGTTGCGCCCTAACAATAAATTAATGCTAAGCGAATCTCAAAAATGCCACTTACCGTATCACTATCGTTGCTGAAATCCCATGAGGGAGCGGGTGAGGCCGATCTGCTGCAGTAATCGAGGTATTGTTGGATAGGTGATTCGTCGAGTGGTTGATCTTCGGGGATGCTTGCGAAGGGTTGTCCACGACAGCGGGGTACAGGGGAGGTTGGGGGTCCGGCGCCCTCGCCCGAGGGCCCGCTTGATACAACTGTCACATTGAAGCGACGTGCTGAGTTGGCGGGAGGTTGAACACCTAATCAACAAAATAAACTGCATTAATTTCTAGTGTGAAGTAAATCAAAGGAAATTTTTAGGACAAGATACGGATTTCATTACTCCGAAGTGGCGAATAAGAAGTGGCGATTTACGCGAAAGTATTAACGCAATTTCAGCGGAAAAAAACTTGCAACGTTTTTTTTATGGAAGGAGTTGTAATATTTTTTTACATTCAACATTTAAAATTTATATTTCATTTAGTAACTATTACGCCATCAATATATTTCCTCTGTAAATCTGTTTAGTTTAGATGCAATTAGTTGAGTGTTATAGATTTCATTTACCTTAGTTCCTTCTTTTGTCATTAGAGGTCACGACATGTACCTTTCTGCAAAAGTCCCTAAATATAGAAAGTACCGCAATCTATTGGGCTCGTGTGTTAGAGAGAGAACGCATGATTTTTGCCCAAAAATGGCGGAAGTTACCAGATTCTAGTAACTTTAATGTTAGGGATTGTTCCACCTGTTTGGAGATATCTGTGTATATTTTTTTTGCACTCCTTCGTTCTAAATCGCGTTTTCCCAATAAAACACGAACGTCGGGAACGTCAATTCATCATCATAAACTAATAAGTAGTATGATGGAAGAGTAAAAAAGAAAATATAAATACACTTTACATCATTCCCTGTAGGTAGTACACGGGCAAAAATAAGCTTAAACCAGAAGTTTTGAACAATAAATTGACATTTTAAATTTCTAGATTTCTACTTTATCGGCATAGAGGACTTGATTTTTTCAAAAGAATTATAATGTCGCAAAACTCTCGCGAAAAAGACTTGAATTTATGTAAATTCGATTTAACTAATCCGTGCAAAAAATAGAATACATGTTACGTGCGTGAACACTGAACAGTATTTGTTTGATTCGCGCGAGATGCGTCGCTCGTGCGCGTTGCGCACTCGCGCCGCCAAACTTCGCAAATAACTGTTCCCGCACTAATAATGTAAATAACTATTATAAAACATGACAGTACTATGAAGTTAGGTTATAAAAAATTACAGCTATTCAGTTTTTATTTGTCAATTTTTTTAAGTTGGCAGCAAATTTGCCCAAAAATGGCGGATGATTGCGGTACTTTCTATATCTAGTGACTTTACTTTCTGCAATTAATTTTATCCCTTTTTTTTTAATCCTGGCCTGCGTACAACCTGTACTTTATGGTGGTTATTTGTAAAAGAAATGTAATACGCCTTTATTTTACACTTATGTCTACTTGAAAAGGGCGTTTTGTATTGGTTAATGTAATATTTTCTTTGGAGTTTTCCACTCTTTCTGGTGTATTGCTTAGTTTGCCTTTGGAAGTTCAAGTTAAGTACGATCTCCCATGTAAACAAAAATTCCAAAGGTAACTCGACAGCAACTGATTTTTGATGGCATAGTACGACATAATATAGATAGACCTACATCGAAATTATTAATTGAAAACTTGATTTATAACTGCAAGTACTACCATTTACCATGTTTCGAAACCATGTGTTCTATGTTAGATTTTTGAATTAAATTGATTTCCCTAGTTCCAACATCATTACGTGAAATTGATTTCGGGAAGAAGGGAAAGGGCAGTAAGTCATTGACAAAAGTAATGATCGCCGAATAGGTAAATCGTTGCTCTAAACACAGAACCATTGCAAGGTTGACGTCAGAAATCCCAGCAAGACCAAAATTTCCAAAAAACACGCACATGCGAACAAAAACGCAGTAAGATCACTTGTAAGTTTTGAAACAAACTAATTTTGATTTATGAACACACAAAAATACTAAAAGTGTGCAGAACGTTAAAAAGCGGAAGAGTGACCGCCGTCATGTAATAAACTTTGTTATGTTAAGACAAGCCATACATATTTGTGACAACTACTAAGGGCAGGAGATCTGACCAGAACACCCCCTTATTATACCCACACAGTAGCACTAATCATTAAAAGTATTTTTTATGCACATGCTATCTATAACATTTTTACGTTCATTGTGATTTCTGAATGAGTACTTTCTACAATTAGCGATCAAAATAAATAAGGATGTTTATGTATTGCATTTGGCTGCCATTCAAGTAGCGCAAAATACACTTTTACATCGGATAAATTATCGTTCACGGCATTTGTTGACAGTTAGAAATTATTATTAGTCACAGGTCAAACTTTAGTGGAAGTAAACAATAAAAAATATGGTATTCATTGGAAGTTCAATGATATCAAAAACAAATATTAGATGAAAGTGTCGCAGGTAATTTCTGTTTGACCATTCCGCTGTAGAAATGAGATTGTTGCAAGCGGGTGTCCACTGTCCCAAATTTCAAAATCGACAAATGAGACATCCTGTATTTTATTCGATTTTTGTAATCTACGTTAAGTTCTAAGATAAATGTATTGAAGATGGATGTAGCGTGTGTCCTATTTTGGTTGAGATTACAGTGCATCTCAGCTGTTTCTAATGATAGAGACTAGCGGTTTTCGGGACCCTGTACTGTACCACTTTTTTGTGAAACTTTTAATACCACAAACAGAATCAATCTATAGATAGGTTTGTTTCTGAGATGGAGGGTGAAAACGAAAAGTTTGACTTTTTGAAATGTTATCATGTCTTACTACCCATGTACGAGTATAAGATAGAAAAAAGGTAAAAACTGTTTGTTTTAGATATTTTTACGTAGAATCCAGTGGCGTGGTCAAATAGATTTAAAACAAATTTTTCTTTACCTTCAAATAAGTAATGCCCACCTTGTTTGTATAAGATCGCGCCATAGACAACCTGTTACAAAATAACTACCGAAACATTTTTTTAGTAATTGGTCATTATTCGTTGATATATGGCTGCCTACATACGTATTCTCTTCCACTGATTGCATGATGCTATGTAAACATACTTTAGGGATGATGTCATAATATATCGATTACGTGCGCGTAAACGAAGGAAAATTATATTACATATTTGTTTTTGCATGATCAACAACATTTGTATAATTATTGAAATGCGCTTTTCACGTCTTTTTGCTCAGACTGAAGCTATTAAGTAATCTCTATTTGGTATAGTTATCAAGATACATAGCCCCAAATTTGGATTCTTTCAAAATTCAAAATCCTTTATCTAGAAAACGGTACACCGGGTGGTGCCTAGCGCGACGCAGCATAGGGATTTCAATAGTAATTTCTTTATAGTCAATTACTAGCTCCCCTAGTTATTTTAGAGCAAAAGTCTAAATACGATTTTTTTAGAGAAACAAATACTGCATCTGTTCATACTATTAGTTATAATTTTCCCTTTTTCAAAACCGTAGAAATCGACAAATTGAGAAGGTTCATTTTACAATAAATCAAATATGCCTTGGAATTTCCAAACAAACAGCGATCACGTTTCATTATTTGCCTTTGACGTATATTAAATTTATACTTGTTTATAAATTAGTTAAAGAACTGCAAGAGCAATAACGTTCAAAATGTCCGTCAAAACCATCAGGAAAACGACAATACATCCAACGTTTTGGCTGCAGTAGCGGAAAATCCGAATATAAGTTTACGAACAAATCTTCTTCAAATCAGTTTTTTTTCTTCCGTTTATGTAGGTACCCTGGTTCCAAAAATGATAAACAAATAGTATCTAATGCAGATGCAGCATACATTCTGTAAAAAAACATTACCCTAAGATGCCTTTTATTGCGTCGGTTAGTTGAAACAGAATTAAATATGAAAATCGTTCGACGTCAAACAACGTTAATTTAGACGCGATGCGCTTCTAGTTTGTTGAAAGATTCCAAAGCATCACTGATTTATAAAAATGTAATTTTTTATTTTCTCGATTTCTACGGTTTTGAAAAATGGAAAATTATAAGTAATAGTATGAACAGATGCAGTATTTTTTTCTCTAAAAAAACGTATTTAGACTTTTGCTGTAAAATAATTTGGGGATCTAGTAATTGACTATAAAGAAATTACCATTGAAATCCCTATGCTGCGTTGCGCTAGGCACCACCCTGTATATTATTGTAGATCTATCTTCTATAGATTTGTCTTAGAATTTAACGTAGAATCTAAAATGGAATAAATGTAGAAAATCTCCCATTTAAAAGTTTCAAGTTGGAGGCCGGGGACGCCTTTTGAGACACCTTGGATAAATAATACTATCTACCTATTGGAAAAATTTTACTTGGGCCAAACAACTTTCATATTAAACTTCTTTTTGCAAAACCTGATGTCGTTTTGAGTGGCCTACTGTTTAAAAGCATTTATTGGAAAGCACGGCTTGTTTGAATCTAGCTCTTTTTCGCTTCATTTAAATTTAACGCTACCGTCTTATGAGTGACGTTTTCCATTGCATGCTCATGCAGTCATCTGCAACGATGTAAATCGTTGTAAACACGCAAATGTAAAACATTCTCACGAAATTCGCGTCGGAGAGAGAGCGTAGCTTTGGATGACTATCCACTAATTTGAGGTAAAACGCGAAGTATTGACCATAGATTACGTGCGTCAGCAGATATAATGACGAAACTACAAAAAAGGGGTTATCCTTTACGTAATTTATACGACATTTGAAGGAAATCGATGGAAAATTTCGGTCTAATCCAAACGCAATTTTCTAAATGACCACAATGTATGAAGTAGGTACCTACATTATCAATAATAATTTATTTAGCCTTTACTGAAAGAGCATTGATTTGGGATAATAGAAAGTGTAAAAAATGCCTGAAATGGTGATGGGTTTCCAATAATTTCAATGGGATAAAATACTCGTATTTTGATTGGAGTATTAGACCGTATAATCGTTTTGCGAGTGATGTACATACTCGTTTATCGATTTGACTTTTGATACAATTTCTACCACCTACAGTGAGTTTTTTTTAAATGCGAACATAGGAGTTTGCATGCAATGTAATTTCCCTATGTTCGATTTTAAAAAAAAACACATCAATCTATGAGGTGTGCGCGGTTCACATTCCCAAATCGCGCAACTTGTGTGACTATGAACAGCAACTCTATAGTCTTT